GCGGAGCTCCTGGTCGGCGACGGCCAACTCCTGCTTCAGTGCCACGTGGGTGGCGGCCAAGCGCTGGTTGTCGAGGAGGAGAGCTTGGATCTCCCGCTGTTGGGCCTCGATTAGAGCGGCAGGGTGAGGTCGATGAAGGCCTTGGTGGAGAAGTCGGGGTCCGTCAATTGAAGGACGACGATGCTGTTGTCTTGAGTAAGGATGATTTCGTCCGGCCATTGCTACCTCGCGCCTTTGAGGAGAAGGCAGCTGCCGCCGGGACTCCTTTCCTGTTTTCTTTTATTCAGAAGTATTGATCTCAAGTTCTGGGAAGGGCGGCTACGAGGGAAAGAAGCAAAGCAAAAGGTGTTTTTCAGCTAATCAGTGTGCCAGTGAGGGGGCGCGTAATTCGCGACATCAGCAGTAGTAAGCCGGGCTTTGTTGGAGAATCCTTTATGCTCGTCGCACGACTTTTTTTTTTTTTTTTTTTTTTGGTCTCTCGAAACGAGATCAAAAGGGTAACTATACATATTGGACCAAGTCCTCTTCATACATGTATAGAGTACCTTGCACTAAGGAGTGGAACGAGTTCTCTCCTCACCGTTCACAATCCTTAGCGCATGAATCCTCGTTGTATGGTTCAATAGTATTTTATTGAAAAAAAAAATACACAAGTTAGCAATCAATAAATACATTCTAAAAAATTAACAAGTCATCTGTCATGCTTATTATCACACGCCATGTAAATTTGCACATTCATATCAAAACTTTACTTAGATATGTGTAATGACATCTGATTTGCAATGCTTTTTATGATTAATATAATTGAATGACGTCTATTTTGACCTAAAAAAAAAAAACTCATACAAAGTAATAGTGCTAGTAAATTTACACATATTTAGCAGCAGAACCACATTGTGTAGAAGATGGGTAATTGCACCCCCTTAATTTTGTAAAATTGAAAGAATAGTCTTGAAACTTTTACGCATTTTTATGTTTTTATTATAATTGCACCCCACTCAAATTTAGAAAAATATCTTTTTCCCTTTATATTGCCCCTTATATTATGAGAAATTTCCATTCTTTTTATATCACCTCTTTAAATAATCAATTTTTTTGGACATCTCTCCCACGTACAAATTTTTCAAAGCTATTAAAACATAAAACTAATTACTGCTTAAATAAGGGGTAACCTTGTTCCTTTTGAATGTAGAAAACTCATAATAAAAATTTATTTTTAATCAAAATTTTCTTTACATGATAACAACATCATTTTAGGTGTATAATGATGTCCCTGCTAAATATAGATCCTAATTCCGCTACTACACGTACGATTCAAAAATTTATTACTCGCATAATATATATTGGTATCAAATACTTCTCAGTTAATTGTTTTATTCTTGAGCAAAGAAATAATAAACAATAAAAAAATGTTATTCATTATAAATTACAATATCAGGATAATCATTAATTTATTTGACATTTACTGTTGGTGTTAAATTTTTTTAAGGTAGCCAAAAAAAACCTTTACATTTGTTGCTAGCATTTATATATACATTTATGATAGCAGAAAATTATATTCAACTTAGAATCACTGGTAAATCCCAAACAAGCAGGTGCGATGCCCTTTCCCGTGTCATACTACGTATCATATCATTTTATTTCATGGGCCAAAATTTGCAACCCATTTAGCTTCTTGAAATACCATCACAAAAGTCAACACACCACAACAAATGCAAGATACTAGCTTCTTCTTCCAGCTGCCACGTGGCAACACAACAAGCAACTACAGCAATAACCAAATCTAGAAATTACAATTCAAGATGCTAATACAAACGATAACAAATATAAATTCAAACGGTAATAGAAATGTTGATGCATTTCCACCCCTCTTCTATTAAAAAAATAAAAAAGAAATATCAATGTATTCGTATTTACTTCTTAAATAATTGCATTTGATATTTATAGGCCTTTTATTTAAGTTTAACATCAACTACTTAGTTTTGTATTGTCTAATACTTACAACAAATAAAAAAATAAAAGTTAAAAAAAAAAACCTTACGTATCATTTGTGACTTAAACCCAATTTATATCATTGTTAAATCCAACCCAAATTATCCCCCCATGCAACAGCAAAATATATTGAAAGCAAGAGCAAGAAGAAAATGGAGCTTCTCAACTCACTCATCGTGCCATGTGGCAGTGCATGAAGTTGCTACAGGAAGAAGCAACTCCTTCTTGTATCATAGTTAGATTAGATTAGATTAGATACACACACATATAACATACATATGGCCGTTGGAAAAATTCTAAGAGACATTTCTTGACTACTGAGTTTTTTTTGTGGCGAAAATATATTTTTAAACTATTAATTATCTTTTGTATGCATGCCTTGTTTTCATTTGTTTTAGGTTTTGTAATATCTAGTTATAGAAAGTGTTTATAAAGAATAATTAGAATTAGTAAAATTTATTATTTGAATTATTATTGATTTTAACTTTTTTCCTTATCAAAAACCTACAATCTAACTAAAAAACAATGAGAGCATTACATAAACGGATTAACCAACATTAGATTTATAATTAGTTAAAATAATCAGTCGAAAAAATGCTCGTAGTTTGTAAGACCACTGTACCATGTTTTCGTATACATGTGAAAAAATTAACAAATTCTTTGACATAGTTTGGAGAAGCGAAAGAAAGACATTAAAAAAAAGCAAAAATCTCATAAGCCAATAAACTATTACTTGTATCGACTTTTGACTATTAAATAATTTTTTATCACAATTTGGTCACTAAACTAACTAATTAGCACAACCATGCCCATTTCATGGATTTTGACTCTTAATCTACAAAATAATTAAAAGGTCTAAAGGTATTTTTATCCACTCAAAGTGTTAATTATATTTGATGAATTTTGGAGCTGGCGAAAATACCACACGCATTGACCTTGAAAAACTACAAGAAATAGGATCTGATACACTTAGTACTATTTTTCTGCAAAGAGGAATGATGTAGCTGTTATCGTCGAGAAAGTTAAAAGGGACTGGAACTTAATGGAGCAAGGGTACAGGGCTGAGTTAGTAATAAAAAAAAACCATTTGGTGTTTTGATTATTTTGATGGATTAAGAGGCAAAATTCACGAAAATGGCTACGCTTATACTGATTAGTTAGTTTAGTGGCTAATTCATGATGAAAAATTGTTTGATAGTCAAAAGTCGATACGAGCAATAGTATAATAAGTGTTCAAATATTTTGTCCAAAAAAAGAAAAGATTAGTCTTCTATGCATTAGTGTATACACTATTATTTTTGGATGAATGACAATTATATAAATTTTGACTTTTGTACATGTATTATGAATCCAAAAGTAATAATGTATATAATTTATTTAAAAAAAAGGTAATATTACTATTCCTTGACTGAAAAATTAGAATGTCAGTCTTCTCTAAGTGTGTCTATCGTATTCTTTAAATTCTATGAATTTACGTTTTGAGTTTTCTTTTTTATTCCCTCTTTTTTTTTCGCCATTTGATTTAAATATCTTTGCTAATGGACAAATATTTGGAGATACCTGAAAACTATGACGACATATTATACCTGGCAATTGGGCGGGTTGGGCGGGTTAATATTGGATTTTTACTTAAATGGGTTATATCCAACCCGCCAAACTTTAGATTGGGTCGATTTTGGGTTGGGTCATATTGGGTTATCTCAAACCCATGACCCAAATATGACCCAACAAATTAATTAATACATTTTAATACATAAACTTTTACACATATATTTTAACACACAAAAAAGATTTTTTTCACACATATAAACACATTTTCACATGCATAAATGTATTTTCACACACACAAACACACACTCACTTCTTAAGTTCCTTGGAAACACATCATAAATAGAATAATATTTTATATTGCTTGTATTGTGAATTTTAGATAATAAATTATACATTTAAATAGATTAGCTAAAAAAATTGTTTACTTTATACTTTTTAAATACTACTAATTGATTGAAGCTTATTTTTTGTCACAACTTATTAACACTTTTACTATTCATAGCTATTTTATCGTAAATTGTAATATTCTATGTATTTAAATTATTGAATGCTAGATTATATTATACTTGAAAATGTAAGTAAGAGACATATAATTTGTTGTATAATAATTTTGAAATTATAGAAAATAAGTTTGTATTTTAGTCCTTATATTCTCAAAAATTTTATGATTCATGACTCTAGAAATTTTGCAAACTGTTGTGAAAGGTCCATGCATCAGAACTACATTATGGGGATAATATGCAAATTGCTTTCTTCCATTAAATGACTGTGGTTCTTGGACTCGCTAATTAAGAGGGAAAATTAATTGTCTTGCTGATTGTAAACTTCTCATGAAGTTGAAGATTGGAGGTATTTGCTTTAGACGAAATGAAATCGTTGGACTGCCAAGCTGCCATAATTAATCAAAACCAAATAGAATCTGCAAGTCAACTACATTGATTCGAAGTTAATATCACGATCTATATACATATAATATATATTAGAAGGTATTTTTTTTTTGATTTGATACCGTTAGATAATTCATCACCTAATTAATTAGAATCATCTAGGATCATACTTTTAAACAAGTTGGGTATTGGGTACCCAAATAAAAAATTCAACCCGCCCAATAAATAAATTGAGTTATTCTTAACCAACCCAATAAAACCCATAATCCAATTGACCTAACTCATCCTTTAAAATTAATGGACGAATTGGACGGGTTGTTGGGTTTTGGGGTTTTTTTCCCAGCTCTACTACATATTTTCCGGCGCAAATACTAAACGTCCGCTGAATGTTTTGTGTGTCGCAAACTTTATTAATCTTTGGCCCTAGCTCATTTTGAACACGGGCCATGGCCACATTACTTCAGGCCCACAAACTCCGATACTGAAATTGCTCTGTTTAAGCTTTAAGGCCTGTGGCTGTTCAATAAAAACCGCCAAATTTCCACCGACGCAAATCAAACGACAGAAAATCCACAGAATGTCCAACGAAGTCTCGCGGCAAATCTCCCTCTTTAGCACCCAAATGCAAAATCGAATGTAGTAATCTTCATCCTAATCCGTATCAAATCTTCCCTCCATTTTTGCAGACACCTGAATTGATTAGTTGCAAACGATTTTATTTTGACGCAGATTCGGCGACGGAACCATTGCAATTCTGGAATCGCTTCTAGCTTCCAAGGACATCAAATCGTCACTAGAAATCCGATCAGCTTTGAAAGAGTTTATGAGACACGAATCGCTCAGCATTATTCGAGAAATCACTGAGAAGTCCGTCGACAATAAGCTACTGATCGCTGATTTTCTCATTCGTGCTTTTGCTCTCATTGGTGACGTGGAGGTACATTTAAATGATATTTATTGCGCGATCCTACTACATTGTCTCAAAACATTTGGCTTTCAGATTTCATAATCTTTGCAAAAAAAAAAAAGAAAAAAAAAGAAAATCCGAGAATCGAGAGTATGACGCTTATGTAGCAAATTTGAGGAATGAGATCATATATTGGCTTTATAGGTTCTTTCATGTTTTACATATCTTTCCTACAGGAATAGGACTACATACTTTTGCTCAAATAATTACGTCTTTATTCGTTCGTCTCTTGGAACTTTCATTGGTCAAAGTAAAGTTAAGTAGCTAGATTAAAAGAGACTCGACTAGCATTTCATCCTTCAATTATTGTTGTGATAATTATCCACATAAGTTTTTGTTTTGATACATGATCTAAAATGGCGACTTCAAGCTAGTTGTTTGTACTTATTTCCAGTGTTTAAGAGAAAGTACTCTAGCTTCATTGTCCTTTGTCTAGTTTTGAGTCCAAGTAGTTTTCTGATCTTCCATATGTAATAGTCAGGGTACTTCAGTATTTCCTTTCTTTTTTTTCTTTTTTGGGTGTAAAGAAGAATAACAGTCCTGCCGTTACATGATTGCAATAGCCAGGGGAACCGACGGGACTGAAATAGCCTATTCTACGTTGGTATTGGATGTTACATGATTGTGCTAGAAAAATCTGCGGTAATAATTGATTTATTTCACTTGGTATTCTGCAATTTTTCTTTTTGACAGAGTTGCTTGGCCCTGAGATATGAGGCATTGCTACTGCGAGATGAAAAGGCATCTAGTGACACAAGGCTAGAGGTTTCATACCACGAGTGGCTCACATTAGCCGAGCAATTGTTTGATAATGGTTTTTATTCCGCTGCAACAAAGGTAGTGAATGTTCAGTTGCCTCAATTAGTCACAGAAATGTCATCGTATTATTAATGCTGTTTTTACTGATGCTAATTGTTACTGTCATTTTTCATCAACATTCATTACCCAAAATATTATCACGGTCCGTGGTGAGGACAATAGGAAAAAATTTAAACTATAACAGAACGATTTGCTAGACATTCTTGTTTCAAGTTTCAAATTATGCCCAAGACTACCTGGAAATATTTCTTTCAGAGCATCACAGGATTTTATTGCAGAGACTGTTGAGCTGCACTTTCTCTTAGTCTTCACTCCAATTTCAGGTTCGCCTGCCTGAACAATTGTTCAATTCCCCTGCTCAGATAGCCAAGCCTTTTCATGTTTCTTAGTTGAGAGGTTTACCTTTCCAGTAATTTGGAGTCTCTCATATGGGACTTCATGGACATTTTAATGGTCCACCATTTTTGTCCTTTTTAAACTGGGAATGAAAGTAGTGATGAACAATCTTTGGTTCCCCTTTAAGTAGCTTTCTTTTCTTTAATATGCTTCAAATTTTTCATGTGTCTTGTGAAAAGATAAATGTTAGGGTTAATAACAATATTATTTGGACATCAATTTGTCTCACTTGTTGAATGCCAAGCATATCGTCCTCATGTTTTTGTCCTTTGGCTTAAAAGTATGTTATCTTGTACATCATAAATTGCACAACTTCTTTTACGCTTCCTCCACCTTTCTTGATTAAGTTTCATGTTGAACTGGATAACTATTTCTGCAGACATGTGAGAGAGCACTTTTATGCATTCAGATGGACAACGGGATTTGCACTGAAGATGATGACTGCTTTAATTGTGAGCATGCTTCTGAGAATATTAAGAGACTCAAGGATGCTGCTATCATATTAGCTGCTTCACAAACTGGTACAAACCGAGGTTAGATTCTTGAGATGATGTGCAATTTGTTGATATATTAGATGTAAGACCTCTGGTGTAAGGTTTCTGAGGCATCAAAAGATGTGATTATTTATTTTGTTGGAATAATTTCCTTTGCTAATGGACATATCGTATATTTCTAACAGTCCTTGATAAAAAAATCATGGTGATAGTAGACGAAATGTTGTTTGGCTAGCGTCATGATTTCTGGAATCACATTTTTTAAAACAACAAGTGCATATTTATAATTAAGAAGGTTCAACAGGATGCAATGTTTACCGACCAACGGTTGTTAGGAAAATCGTTCGGACTGATTTTGTGTAAAATGCACAAAATGTAACTTTGTATGCATACGGTGTAACTCACTTTTAACGATGTGTAATTATAGAATAAAATTTTGTAGACCCCACATACAGTGTGAAAAATGATGTACAAGATACAATCTGAACCTTACATTTTTTTTTTTTTGGCCAAATCTTGGCCATGCCGTTCCTGCCCCTCTTCCTCACTTGGGTCTAAGTTGTGAAGATAGTGCCATGCTAGATATTCAGTACCATACTTACGGTTACGCGTAGATTGGTATAGAATAGGTGCAGACTCATCAAACAATTGACAACTTCCATTTTGCTGTGACATCAGCATCCTCAGTAACAGAATTCATTGAATTATCACAAAGTGAATACCACATGCACACGTCACATTTGGGTTATAGTTTTAAGTTATATTTAAAACTATAATTTGGGATTACCTCAGTAAATTCTTGCATCATATTTATATGTCTTAATTCTAATAATATATCACTACAGAATTCTGAAGTTGTAAAAGGAAAAAAAAAAGGCTGTTATCCATGCACCAAGAGTATATCCTTGTAGAATTGATAAAGAGACTTGCTCTTTAGCAATCAACAAGTCCTTGGGTGGATTGCCTTTTCCTCTTGGAATCCCGTTTCTCGATGTTGTGAGGCTTCAAAAGTCCAATTTGATATTCTACCTGCTATCTCTGTTACGTTCTCTTAAGGGCTTCATTTGTCATGGAAAATGGCTGGAGCTGAATTCTATGTTATTCTTAAAACTAGCAGCTAGGCGCTCTCGTGTGCACTTATTAACTCAGCTTGATGATGATACAGTTCAGGTTCAGGCAACTGAATACATGAAAAAGAAAATTAATCAGCAGCTGAAACAACAAGAGTCCATTTGCACTGAGACGTATTCTTCAGGAAGCACTCTGTTCAGAAATGGAATTAAAAGACGGAATTTACGAAAATTGCAGGAACACCAATGTCTATAGCAGGTTATTTATGACAGAATTTAGCAATTTTTAGTTCCTTTCAGATATTTCCTTTATTATCTTTAGTACTGTTTGGATATTCTATTTTGTTGTAGTTGGACTAAAATATTATATTCAGCACTTGATTTGTTGTCTTTCTGTATAACTAGACAGCCAGAGAGGTGAGTTTGATGATAGTGAAGCCCAAACATGCTTTTAACAAGGTAGTATATCAATATGCATGCGTCCTGAGGTTGGGAACTCTTGGAAGAATTGATTTGTCACTCAGGCAATACCTTTTCTTCATGCTTTCATGAAATGGTGGACCTAAATTATAGTCCTACTGCAAGTTCAAGAGAACATTTTCAGAGGGGGATTCAAGGTATTCTTATACAGGAATATACATGAAAATTTTTTACTTCTTGTAGGGGTAATTGAGGATAACAACCTTGGTCCACTTCTCTTGAAGTTTCTTGTTGCTACAAATGATGTACGTCACAAATGGATTCTGATATATGGTTGTTTGCGTAGACTCCCCGACGTATTGATATTTCGGGAGACATGTCAGTGTAACCCTGCAACAGCCATTGGGGATGGCACTGAATTACTGTAAACACAGCTTAATGAACCTAGGAGGCCATTACTAGTCTATTTTTTATTAATTCATTTTTAATAGTCCGCTAACACAGCAAGCCACGGGGAACCTGTAATTAATTCTATGCCAGAAAGGGTACATTTGCAGCAAGATATGTGCTTGATATGGTTCCGAGTCCATGAAATTCTGCAGTTGATTCTGCTCGATATTTTGGTTTCTTAGGGTTGACACTTGAATTTTGGATAGACATCTGTGCGTTGAAGACCTAACAATGCTTACTCTAAAACAACCCAGTAGCAATTGGACCTGAGGTATGTAGCATTTTGTAACTCCTGAACACATAAATTGCTATTTGTCTTTTGTCAAAGATTGCTTCAATCGTAGTCTCCACCGATTCAGAATTTGAAAAAACATCCATATCCCAATAATCGAATCTTCCATATCACAAAGCTCATTTAATGTTTGCATTGGAGATCGTATGTTTTTTTATTTTCTCTAAGACGGTGAAGATGTCTGTTTTTCTAACACTTCGCACATCGTTTTGGAAAACACGCTTAAGACATAAAACAAAGTTTACAAGGTTCTCATCCTGTCTCCGCTGCCTCTTCTTCCTAAGAGCGTAGGGGTTTGAAATATGGAACTCAAGCAGAAAAATACGCGTTTTGTGAGGTAACAAGCATTTAACAAGTTCAATTAAATGTTGGTGGGGTCCCATGTTTATTTACATGAGTCTAGGACCAGAAAGAGTCTACGAGTAAGCAAAACAGTGACTTGGACTTGTTATAAGACAAGTGCACTTTTAAAAAAACCTTGGTAAAATATGCACTTGCTACGACTACCAGGGAAACAGAGCTTTCTTCCTCGGAATAGAAGATTAGAAGCTTGGAATCATGTGGAATGCATTAAATGCAAGGGAGTGGGGAATCGATCTTAGGGTTCTACAACTCTGATAATTTAGGAGTGTCAGTTCAGAAGCCTCGTGATGCATAACCCACAAGCTAATACATAGATTTAATTTCACATCTTGCAAATTGAAATCTGAAAGAATCTTTTCCTTTTGTTTCATGACCAACATAATGGTGAATCAGATGCCTAATAGTTAACTTAATCCTATGCATGTGACTGCTAGGTTTTAAAATCACTGGTCTACGACCTGCACACTCGATTCTAATTTTCTGAAATTAAGAAAAATTCTTAAAAAAAGACGCTTCTTTCTGTTACCTTAGATTTCAGCTTCTTGTCGGATCTCTCTCATTAACTGTTTATCATTAATTCCATGGTGGGTTGTTGTTATGGCTGTCGTAATGATTTTTCAATTATAATTATTATTAGTAGTAGTAGTATAAGTTTTGGATAGAACTGAATGAGACGAAGAATTAGAGTTTCACTGCGTCTAACTTTCTACAACTCGCACAAGGATATGTATTCAAGTATACAAAATAAAATGCACATGATATAAATTTCTTGAAAACAAACAAGAGCGGATGGTCAATTTCTTTTAAGGCTTGTTGCTCATTCGACAAAGTTGACGATGGTGATAAAACAGATTGATGAAGTTCCTACCTCAGATAAGAATTTTTAAAGATTTTCTTTTTTTTCTTTGTTTTTTGGAAGCTCTTCAACATTTTTTTTTTTTGCTTTTATATTTCTTCTCTTCATATAATAATTTCCTGATTAATAGATTGACAAATTTCCAAACCTCAGAAAAGAATTCTTTGAGGTTGCTAAATCCTAATACTACGTACGTTTCTGATGAACTTCTGTCATTAACATCTTTTCGTGTTCATACTTTTCCTGTTCGCATGCTAATGCTAATTCCTGAATTCAGCCGTTGACAGCAAAACTGTATAAAATAAATGATCGGACAAAGTTACCATAAACTAATTAATACCCCTACCAAAAGATTTTTATCAATTTTAAGTTTGATGGCTGTTAAACAAAATCAATTGGGTCTGTATTATATTGTAGACGAAGTGATAATATCATGTTGGTTCAGTTTAACAGGTGTCTGATAGATATTCGTTAAGATGTATTTTAGGCGTTAAATTTTTAGAAAATTAAGATTAATTAAGAAAAAGTGTAAAAAACCTTTTATGTTTGACTGAAAATGGGTGGCAAAAAAGCCGAACACGGTGAAGACAGGAAATGTTTGGGAGTGGAATGCAACACGGTCGAGTAATCTTGGAGTTTCGTTCGCATTTCCATTTTTTCCTCTTGGTACAGCCTCTGTCGGAGCTAGCTTGATTGACCTTTCTAATTTTTATTTGTAACTATAAAGAAAAATGTTAAGGTTATGGAGGACAATAAATGTCCATTTTTGACCAAATAAATTGTCTAAAATCTGAGTTCAACTCTTATGACCCTTGTTTGTCGTTTTGGATCACACCATCTCAGCTGCGATGGTTGTTGGGACCAGGCATGCGATAACATATTCTTTAATTAGGAAGATGAGCTCAATTTTCTTCATTTTGACTTCATCGCAGGAAAAATACCCTCACCATGTTTTCCGGTTAAGAAGATGAATAAGAACAAGCAGCTATATTCAACGGTTAATATTTCTTAATTTCGTGCCTTCTTTAATTCGATCAAGAAAAAGGTTCAACAAAAAAAAAAAAAAAAAAGAAGAGTGATCGAGTGAGAGAGAGGTTGAGCGGGACCTTCGATCAAATGATAAGAGATGAGTTGCACGTCCATCAAATTTTATGTTTTCATGTGAATGTCCGCCAACAAACATTCACGTTGAGCCAATCTTTTCTTTTGGTTGGGACCAGGGTTTTGCTTCGTTAATTTCGCACCATATCAAAACTTACTAAACCCTAACCCTAGTTGTTCTCGTAAATTTATTGCGTTTGTCTATTAGTGAATTTCTAATTAATGGTGGCAGTAGCTTCTAATATTCAATAATTTCCTTCCTATGGTTCATGTTTTGCAAGCAAAGTGCCAGTACTCTATCGCACAAGTAATAGCGAAACACGAACGTGGAAAGTAAACAAATCCATTGATCGCCAGCCAACCTAGCACGCAGAATGGCGGTGGTCAACTTCTCGCACTTGATTCTTCAAGACGATTTCTATGCAGAAAGACTTAATTGCCCTTGACGGCTACAGTATTCTTTGTTATTATGGGAGGCTTCAACTGTAACATTGGACGGGAATCAGATGCTCACACCTTCATGGGGTTTGTTTTTTCAACTCCCACAACATCTCTGAGTTCTCACTTCTCCCTTTTGTCATTCTACTTCTCTTTGCTTGTCGCAATTTATCTTCGCAAAAAATAGACCGTTTCCAATATTTTATTCTTGGATTCATTCTCCACTTCGCCTTACGCTTCTTAACACCATTATAAATAGGCACCCCACCTGTTCTCTTTCAAATCACTCTCTTGCTCTAGTTCAGCTCCTTTTTAAGCCCTGGCATCTTGCAAGTTTATTAACACCTCGCTTGGTTTAACTACTTATCTTTAGCTTCACATCATGGGAGGAAGCTCACCTTGTGCTTCCTGCAAATTGTTGCGGCGTCGCTGCGCCAAAGACTGCATTTTTGCACCCTATTTTCCTCCTGATGATCCTCATAAGTTTGCCATTGTCCACAAGGTTTTCGGTGCTAGCAACGTCAGCAAGATGTTGCAGGTTTCTCCTCCTCCTCCTTCTTCTTCTCAGGCTCATATCTATATATATGTGCCAATGCTTCTCTATTTCGTAGTGTAGGAAACCAGGAGGTTAAGGGTTCAAATTTTGATCATATATACTCGCGTCTGAACAAGTATATCCGTGTGAACATTTTTGCACTTAATTCATTTGTGTCTGATATTTTCTTCAATTAATTTTATTTGTGTCCATCCTTTCTTCAGGAGCTTCCTGTTCAGCAGCGAGCAGATGCAGTAGGCAGTCTAGTATATGAAGCAAATGCAAGAATGAGAGACCCAGTCTACGGATGCGTAGGTGCTATCTCCTATCTGCAGAATCAAGTTTCCCAGTTACAAATGCAGTTAGCAGTGGCTCAAGCAGAGATACTGTGTATCCAGATGCAGCAACAGGAGCCTGCAGCCTTGCCCACTCAACTGGACGTCCCAGATGAGAAGTCGCTTCTCTTATCCACTAGCACCTTCAATAACCTACAACCGTACCTCAGCTTTGCTTCTTCTAGCACTGTAATGCAAGACCCTCTTAAGAGGGAGTCTCTTTGGACATAACGATGTTTTATGAACTAATCTAACTACTTAGTGGTTAGTAATGAAAGTGCTTTAAGTGTTTTAACTTGTTTCTTCCTCGTATCTATTAAGGGTTTGTGGCATCATGGTTTTGTTGATGATTGCACCATCAGAGACAGGAAGATATACCGCACTGAAAAGTATCAAAACTAATCCAGCTTCGTGCATCAAGAAGATGGAATTTTTCTCAGCACTATTTTAATAGCTTCTAATATGCTTATCGAAAGAAGACAAGGGAAAAAAGTCATGAAAATCCTATATATGCATCAAAATAAAGTAGTTGGTCAACGCTGCCATGTGAAGTGGAGTAGGAGTGAAGTAGGGTTAATATTTGCTTCATGAATCTTCTAAAGCAACTGCAGTATGGTAGGATGTTCTTCTCAAGATCTCCCTTCTCCCTCTGGTCTTACATATTGATCAATAATCAAGATGTTGCTTGTCTAATGTAGCACGATATTACTGCAATACAGTTTACCCGCTACTGTTAGTTTTACTGTAAAATGAAGTCTAATCACCGGGGCAAATCTTTCTTAACTCGTTCGGTTGGTTTCTCTCACAATAGAGGAAAGTTCATAAGCTTAACCAAGCAGTTACGTGCAAGTCGCAATTAAATTTCAAGGATATAATATAGAAATCCAATTATCTTTAAGCTTGCTGCTCTGGTTGAGAATGGGCCTGGAAATCTAGAAGGTGTTCCATCTATTGTCAAGCGAAGAAGCCAGAATATTATTTCCTTGACTGTTATCTGGGAATTAACAAGTATGATGCGTCGCTCTTTTACTCCCTAAACTGCACAAGTTTTATCATCTATATATTGCTCGTCTCCATGAAATTTTAATGGCCTATACACCTAATACGCGTCTCGTCCTCTAGGTTCTGTGCTTTTCTTTCTTTTCCTTGAGCTTATAGTCATACAAAACAAAAGTAGCTGAATTCTGGATTTCCCATGTCTAGAAGGTAACTGATGTTCAAAGGAATGTAATTTTGTTTTTTGGAAGCATTGCCTCGAGCCCTCAAAAATGCAGAAAGCTAAAATCAGAATAACAATCGAAACTGACTAACGGCCAGGATAATGGTTTGCCTTGTAATCTGGATTCGTATTGACTTTTAAACTATAATCTTGTATTATATGCTGCCCCTTTTACCTTTTCAAGCTTAGTCGTGTCCAATCTATATAGTTACTATCATACTATCTCATGAAGTCCAAATAAGGTGAGGGCGGTGCATGAACTGAATCCAAGATAAGTCATTTTCTGAAGACTTTTTTGCATGTGGAGTAGTGTTTATATTATTTCCTCCATTGTCACTCGTGAAAAAGAAAAAAATGGCTTAATCTGTGACTGAACAATAGGACCAAAAGAAGAATGAATACAGATAGAAACCACTAAAAGAGGCCACTTGATTAGATCACTTATTATGGTCGATTGTGATGCATCGCATACTAGTTTACTACCAATCTTAAGTGGGAGAAGGGGCGACTTGACTTTAGCCAATTATGCAGAGGTTTAAAGATCTATGTGAGGTTTCGGCATTTATTTGATGGCGACGGCTAGAATGCTTTCCAATCTCCAATTATTTGAAGCACCCTCTCGATACTTAAAATGCCTCTGCCTTCAAACCTAATCAGAAAAGACACCTCCGGCGTTAACTATAGTACTTGGAGCCTCCCAGAACGGATGCGTGATGACATTTTGAAGGAAATATGCCGTTTTGTTTTTTCATTTGCCGAAATTTAACACTGAGGTCGAATGTGTCGCTAAAAACCAATATATCAGTTTGCTAAAGTTCACAACAATATTATTAAATTCAGATCGGATAGCGCGCCATTCGACTAAACTACTGGGTTAGGGATCAACTGGTCGAATTGTTCTCAAAAACTCGCTGATGTTAGCATAGTGTCATAATTATTTAATATTTTTATAAGTTTCAAAAATATTAAAATCAAGTTCTTGGTTATATTCGACCAATCATACAAAATATTTTAAAAATGTTAGATTTGCAATGAAATATACACCTAGTAATTATAAATAAAAATGTAAATTCATGACTAAAATATGTCCATTCTCCGAAATTACTTGAAAAACTAAATTTCAAAGTCGATTCAAATTCGTTAAGCATCGTTTTTTCACTTGTTCGCTTATTAAATTCAGAATCTCATGTGTAGTGTTTCTGAACAACTCTCGTTGATCAAGCATATACTCGACCATCTTTTTGTTAAGGCTATCTGGTTATTTACCTTGTTACGGCTATCTGGTTAGTTTGGGCTGTTAAAACTTGTCTGCAAGTACCTTGCCAGGGATTGGCATGTGGCCCTCAGGTACGTTTCATGAATTGTGTTTTTTTTTTTTTTTTTCGGGGTCACTATCTCTAGTAATAATATCATCATTTTGTTTTCGAATGACCCGACTGGACGCGGAAAAGAAAAAAAAAAAAGAGTAAGTATTGTGGCCAGTTAGTGGTTTATTGTGATCTCACTTTCTCACCTGACCTGACCATTAGTTATCTTCTTTAAATTCCCCCGGCTGTAGGTTTCGCCATCTAAGCCACACAAACGGCGTAAGAATTTGACCCATGAAAAAATAGCCAGTAAGGAGAAGAAGCCCAGGTGAAATTCTTTTTTATTTTTTTGGGTGCCTAGAAATTTGACGTTGCTGTCCTGGGCTAAGAGGGCCCAAAAATGCCGTGCTGTGTCCAGTAAGTATTTGTATTGGATATGGCCCATGTGTCTGATAAGGCAGGAACAGAGAAAAAATGCGCCCGCGTCCCGCCATTGTTTAAAGGGTAAAGTGACACTAAAACCCATGAAATAGTTTACTTTATCCCGCTAACATTTTTCAGTCAAGTACTTCAATCCTACAGTCCAAACATGCTCTAAAAATTTAGACATATTTTTGTTAATTTCCGTTAGTTTTTCTTATTTTCTGGTTAAATTCTCCTTTTGTTTTGTTTTCCCCCAATCTCTCCCATTGCCTTTCTATCTTATAGCTTCCCATAAACCAATGAAAAACACTTTGTTCGGATTGACCATTTTTTTAAAAAATAAATTTTTTAAATACAATACCACAATAATACACAATAACTAAAAAAACATTTCATCCATACATTATATCAAAAATTTCAAATAAAAACTTTTTATATACACTGTTACAGTAAAATTTTTTAAAAATATTCTCAAAAATGGCCAATCTAAATGGAATATGTGCTTATATCTCATTCAACTTATGCATTTTGAGTTCATCTTGGTCGTATATTCTTTTTTTCTTGTAATATTTTGATATTTCCTACATATTTTACTGTTTGAGTAGTAATCAGATCTTGCAGGTGATGTGATAGAATGGGGAGTTGCCAAAATTACTAGAATCACAATATAAAATTTTTATTTTTTTTTTATGGCAAAGCAATCAAAAATTTTTCTAGAGTACCCCGGATGTAATTTCCAAGCTGGATAATCTCAGAAGTTGTAGGCCATGCAGCGACGACCAATAGCTAAAGAGATAAGGTGTCTCGTGGGAAAAAGCACCTGTCACTTTTATATATTACTATCAAACCCAAAATATCTTCTCTCTTTGCGATGTATTCATGTGACATATCCTCTACTTCTCCATATAAGTCGCAGCAAGAAAGTAGAAAAACGAGGTAAGAAAGGAGATAAAATCAAGGGATATGAGGATAAAAACTTTGTTAACAAGTTTAAAGAAAGAAGAAATGCGAGTACCTGCAGAAATCAGTGCCAGTAGTGTTACTAGTAGTAGTTCTAATGAAGAAGAGAACCCGAAAAGAGAGAGCAACATCCACGTCCACGCCAAGAAAGAGATTGATCTTATGGATGAGCTCGACTACTGCACTAATCTCCATAACATCCACGACGATGATGATGCAGAAAACCTCCAAGTTCAAGAGGAGCAGGATATCGCGTACGGTCAACTTATAAACTACTGGGGTTGTTTGATGCCTCCTGCTTGGGATGGTTTAGTTATCAAAGATGATGAAGAGGCCGGAGATAATGATATTATTGATGGAAGAGAGAACCATTCACGTAGCACGCTTGGTGATATGCGGTTTACCATAAAGAAAGAGGCCGAGTGTGGGTTGCTGGAAGATGATGACGATGATGATGATGATGATGATGATGATGAGAAAAAGCTTTCTTTGAATCTGAGCTTAAACTATCAAGAGGTTTTGGATGCATGGTCCGACCGCACACTTTGCGCTGATGAATCTTCTTCAATCTTTGTTTCTGCAAATAATGCCTATGTTAGAGTATTCCATCTCCACCTTTCACTTCTTCTTCTTTTTCTCTTTCTTTCTTTTTTTTTTCCAATATAATTAAGTTGGCTGCCTAGCCTCGTAATATCATATGTATTGCTGGAAGGATAATATAAAGAATACTGCTACTTTTTCTTTTGTTTGATAAGATTCATTCATCATGTTGGAAGCGTAGATGGGAGAGGTGCCGGTGATAGAAGAAGAGAGGAGAAGAAGGGAAGCAAGTGTGCTGAGGTACAAAGAAAAACGCCAAACCAGATTGTTCTCCAAGAAGATAAGATATCAAGTTCGGAAGCTGAATGCAGATAAAAGACCAAGATTCAAGGTACGTGACTGGCTAGCCAATTACTAGTACTAATTTTTCTCCATCCTTCAGAAATCAAGTGTACTGATTTATAAGTCTGGTCTAACTCCAGACATACTCGCCTAACGTTAGAAGAATTTTTTAGAACACTCATCTTTTCATTCCTAATTATCATTTCAGGGCCGTTTTGTGAAAAGGGTAGCCGAGGAGATGCACAAATGATTGCAGAAAAAAAAAATCCTCAAAATATCTTACCTAACTCAACTCCTGTCTGTAAGTACTTTTATATTTGACCGATTCCTTCGATTTGATCTATCAATGTCTTTCAATTACAAGTAGTACATCTCTTTTCTTTTGGCAGGGGGCACGTCTACTGTGCTGTACTATAGAGAAGTCTAGCACCTGCTGAGTTTACGTCCCAGAATGCAAAGATTGAGGCATGTCAAATTTTTATCAGCTCATGAGTCGTTTTCTCAATTGGGACCTTAAAGTTACCTCTGGAACAGGGAAAAAGAAGAAGAAGAGGATGATACTGAGGTCTATCCTGTTTGAATTACAATTTTCTGAAGTTTTTGTATAAAATGTACTGTAGCCCTTTTTACACTTCATTTTCATCGTAGCTTGGATTGATTTGCTCATAATGGGTTCGAATGAGTTCCATTTTTCACAAAACAGGAAAGGAAATTATACATATGAGCATAATGAAGAAAACTCATTCAATTTTGGATTGAGTGTCACATATATATAGATATAGATAGATGTTCAAGTAAACGAGCAACTAATGGTAATGGGCAGTCTTTTGCTCCCAACTTTTGGGTTCACACATCATAATATTCCGTTCATTTACCGCATGTGAATTGGAGAAACAGGAAATCTGCCACATTTACATCATGTGTTTCCCAACTTTTGGTATATTCTGTGCCGGCAAATCTGTTTGGAGCAGATATTTTGGGACTCATTTCCCTGAAATTGAAAAACGAAGGTAGATATTTTGGTGAGGCTGCTTTCGTTAGTTTCAGCCTATGTGGTCCCGCCAAAAAGATGCAATGCTGACAGTTCGCTGGGGCTGTATGCGATTTATACCCTTTAGATTTTTTTTTTTTGGTCTGGGGGAGGGAGAGGAGGGGGGGGGGGTGGTGCTGTGGGAGGGGAGAAAATTTTCAGGAGAGGGGCTGAGACGCAAAGTCAGGGGTTTCGTATTTGTTGGGGGGAGGGGGAGGGGGAGGTGTGAAACTCAACATGAGCTTAATTTTTAATGTCAACTTAGGAATGAACTCAAGTTAATTGAGCAAACAAAAATTCAGAACACTCAAATAATTATAAGAGTAAAAAACTCGAGGAGCCACAAAATTATTAGTGTTGTCCACTTTTGGTCATTAATTTATTTTTTTTTTATCTCTAATTGGCCTCTGAACAAGTAAAAATGCATAATTTAAGGACTTCTGATCATTTTAGACATAAATCCAGACAGAATCAAAGGATATTTTTGTCCATTATTAATCAAAAGTATCGAGAACTTAATCAAGAGCATCGAGGACAGGAATTGAAGTTATGAGAAAAGAAAACCCTTCATTTTCCTTAATCTCTTCATTGAATTTCTCTATAAATTTTTCAAATTCATTGATTTCATATTTGAGAGGGACATGAAAAATCTGATTAAACGTTGGCCACTCGGTGTGAAATCAATGAATTTAGGAATTTTTTTTAGAGAAATCTGATGAAGAGTTCATGGAAAATGAAGGGTTTTTTTTATCTTTTTAGGGTTTCTACTCCTCTTGATGCTTTTTATTAAGTTCTTAATAATTTTGGTTATTGTCGGACAAAAATGCCCTTGGATTCCGGCTGAATTTATGTTTAAAATGGCCAAAAGTTCTTAAACTATACACTTTTAATTGTTTAGGAGTAGGTCGAAAACAAAAAATAGATAAGGGGTCAAAAGTGGACAACTATGATAGTTTAGGGATTGCTCAAGTTTTTTACTCAATAATTATTAGTGGCAATATGTTGATTGAGTTTCAGCTCTAGGAATTTCCCTCCATTGAAATTTTCAGAGAGCAGAAAATACTTGGATAATGTTGGCTATTTTTGAAATAGCCATGAGAATCTGAACACTCTTGGATGTAGATGTTTCAAAGTTACCACCGATTTAACACTTATGTCAATCATCCTTTTTCTTGAAAAAATGAGTCAATTTTCTTGTTCACCGTGATCACAAGATTCTCAAATTTTTAAAAAGTTTCCAAATAACCTAAAAAGTCAATTTAGCATAATCAATTATAACTCTTATGTTTCAAAAGTTTCAAAGCCTTTTTTATTTTCAGCTAAAACAGTAGAAAGACTTAATTCTAAGCATTCTAAGGTTCATCTATTGACAAGTTGTCTATACAATCAATATTTATTATCTAGACTAAAATCAATCTATTAGTTTCCCAATTATTGCAATTTTAGAAAGAGGTAATTGTCAAAAATGGCAATTTATTTGACTAACGAAGAAAGGGTTAATGACTTTTAACCTTGAATTAAAATACAAAAAGCATAAAATTAAAGTTTCACCTTTGAAAGGAAAATACACAAAAAAAAAAATTGTATAACCAGCAAAACGTAATTCAATTTTTAGTTAAAAAGAATATAAAAAAAATAAAAGAATGCCTATAACAGCTGCACTGGAGCCTGTAGCCTTAGGAAGACGAACCGATGAAGAGCACAAGCAAACTTATTTTTATGACAAAAGTTGGGTAGAAATTTACAAAATGAAAATGAATGTAGAGACTTGTGAGATGTCACGTGGACTTTGGTTTGGTTCTCACATGCCTCACATCTCAGTGGGGGGCAAGCCAATAGAATGGGGGAGACAAGACAGCAGGTAACGGTGAGACGCAATAAGCTGTCCGGGACTTTGAGGATCTCAATTATTTAAGGAGACGATTAGACTAAGGCAAATCAAGTTTGTGAGCTTTATTTGACTGGACTTTGTGACGAGACTATAGAGAATGGCCCGATAGGAAATAGGAAAAATTTATTTGACTGGACTCTGTAAATTAAGTCCAGGTTCTCCGGAAGTGGTGAACGTGGACCTTGTCAACTTGCAACTTCAAGCTTCCATACGGGACATTACAAAGTTTCCATAGGCACCGTTGATCTGATTGCATCACTGAAGATTGTTGTGTTTTCTTGCTCTGTTGTCAAAAGGATGATGCGCCAGAAATATACAAAACTGCAAGTAACGTCCATTGATTTGCAAACCTTCTAGAGCAGGTACATTCCCAGAAAGAAGTTGATATTCTGGTAGTATTGGGTGTAATCTTTAGGTTCTCATCCCCATACCTGCTTTCCCTTTGCCCTTACGTCCCGGAGCAAAAAAGTTCTGCTTGCGTCTTCCCTTTTGACTTATTTTCCCACAATACAGTCTCACTATTTAAGAGCCAGTAAGAAAAAATCAACTTTGGTACATCAGTCAGCATCCATTGTCATGTGGTGACTGGTGACTTGAACAGCATCAGTTGTTGGAATTCGCATTCCACTTTATTTCGTCAGCAAGGATGTCAAATGCTCCGGGACTCTACCAAACAAATTAGTAATAAAGATTTCCACTATAAAATCTTAGCAAATGGTGTACTATAGGTTATAAGGAATCTAAAGTTGCAGTAATTACGTGCATCGCTTCATTCTCTGAATTCTTTCTTCTAGTTGGAAAAACTGTCGGTGGACGGATCAATGGATTCATCGGTTAATGGTAACTCAAATTTTAGATTCCGAGTGGTGGCCGTCCCATATCCCGGAAGAGGCCACATCAACCCAATGATGAACCTCTGCAAAATCATGGCCAACAGAAGACCCAATAACTTTCTCATAACCTTCGTCGTTACTGAAGAATGGCATGGCATCCTTAGCTCCGAACCTCTTCATGCAAACAATATCCGATTTGCCACTATCCCCAATGTCATTCCTTCTGAAATAGGCCGAGCCAAAGATTTTACGGGCTTCGTTGAAGCTGTTTTGAACAAGATGGAAGGTCCAGTTGAGCATCTGCTCGATCAGCTGGAGCAGCCGAAGCCGAGTGTGATAATATTCGATTCATTCTTGAAGTGGGGATTGGGCGTTGCAAACCGGAGGAATATACCCGCAGCTTCGCTTTGGCCCATGTCGACCACGTGTTTCTCGCTTCTTCGTCACTATGAAAGTCTTGTCGAGAATGGGCATCTCCCTTCCAATCCAGTAGGTGTGTTTATCAGTCTGCACTTGCATTGTTTTTTCCCCATTTCGTCTTTGAACAATTTTCATCCCAGTAGCCTGTAGTAGGAATTCGTACTTCAGTCAAAATGAAAGTGGTTAATCAATGATAGCGTAACTCTGTGCTTTGAAAAAAAAAAAAGAAAGAAAATCCTTGCTAAAAGCTTTAACCACAGTCAGTGACCTTGTTAATATTCTTTGCAATTAAGGAATATGTTGTGATGGTTGTTTTCAATGACTTGTCATCAGAAGGGCCTCGAATGTTGTCAGTAGTTCATGTTGCTTGTACGAATTTGCAGTTTCGAAGTTCTTAGTCTATGAATTGGGGTAATTTCATTGGGTAATAGATTAGGTAATGGATTCAAGCCCTTTATTTATTATGAGGGATCATCAAACATCTTCTTGAATGAGACTGACTTCTCAAATGTCAATTCATGCTCTGTGGGCATCGTATAATGAACTAATTTATAATTTTGCGACTTGCCATGGAACCAACTACAGAAGAAGGGGATCACAGGGTAACCTGCATTCCGGGAGTCCCGTCTATTCGACTTGCAGATTTTCCTAGGGAACTATTGTTGCATGGTACAAGTCAGACAGCGGTCCGTATAGCTCTAGAAGTTGTTGCTCTGGCATCCAAGGCGGAGTACCTTCTATTTAGTTCTGTCTATGAACTGGAATCTCGAGTCATAGACAGTCTCAAGGCCGAATTACCCAATCCCATCTACTCCATAGGTTTGGCAATACCTTCTTTCAATGTGAGAAACCGCAGCAACAATGACCATATTGCTTGGTTAGATGCTCAACCTAGATCCTCCGTATTGTACATTTCCCAGGGGAGCTTTCTATCTGCATCCAATGAGCAGTCGGCTGAAATAATTGCTGGAGTTCATGAAAGTGGGATTAGATTCTTCTGGGTAGACCGCCAAGACATTTCTACGTTTCAAGCAAGTGGCGGTGATACTGGTAATGGAGTAGTTGTGCATTGGTGCGACCAACTGAAAGTGCTGTGCCATCCCTCAATAGGTGGATTCTGGTCTCATTGCGGGTGGAATTCTACTAAAGAAGGTGCATTTGCTGGTCTGCCGATGCTTACTTTCCCATTAGCATGGGATCAATACACAAACAGCAAGCAAATTGTGGAAGACTGGAAAATTGGTCGGAGGCTGAAGAGAGATGATGGAGGCCTGGTGAAAAGAGAGGAAATTTCCAGGAGTTTGAAGAGGTTTATGGACTTGGAATGTGATGAAGGGAAAGAAATGAGGAGAAGAGCCCAAGAAATCCGGGAGATTTGCCGACGAGCAACCGCAGAAGGTGGTGGATCTTCTGAGCTTGAAATTGAGGCTTTCATCGAGAACATAGCATAACTCAAGAATTCTTTGGACAGGATCAAGGTGAAGGATTGCTGTGGGATTAGCCTAGTGCGTAATTTGTGCAAGTTAAAAGAGTTGTTAACTTGAGACCTATCTTGTTCTTGTATATTAATAAAATTCTTCAAGGCAACAGATGTTTTCGACCTCTTAGTGAAATTATACTTACTCATTCTTCATTTGTAGACCCATGCTTTTGCTTGAGTGGATGAGAGGATGCACAATTTCAGGAAGTCGTAAAAGAAACAGGCTTTGGAACCAAACTGTTGGGGCCAAAAGAAAAAAAATGATACATTCCATCATCATCCTTGATTTTCATTTGCTCTGGTCATGAGTTCTCCCCTGCCTACGAGCAACTTTGATGGTACCATGTAATGCACCTTCTCGCTCAGTATTGGACATCAGGAGATTATTTGTTCAGTACGAGAAGGTGATTTTGGTGATTCGTATTTGACAAAGTCTATATTGTCATTTAAGGTAACGTCCCAAGCTAGTGAATAAGTCGATCCAATCCCAGCATAGCCAGTCCCGTCGCAGATCCCTTTACCCTAAAGCTACCAAGTCGGCCATGGGTTCCTCCTCTTTGTGGCCCATTCTTCAAATGATGTGAATGGGTCCGTACCAAGTGCAAATCGAAGGCATTTGTATCATTTAATCGTCACGTCTCGGATTCGAAATTCATAAAAATAATCAAAATTCATAAAAATAAAAAAGATAATATTGGGAGAGCTTCTCCAAAAGAGAGGTTCGATGCAGTTCGAACAGAATTAATTGTAGGGCGTAGAACAGACGGGAATACCTGTGAATTATATAAAAAAAAAAATGATGTAAATGGGCCATCTGCTGAAGCTGCTGGAAATTAATAATGCATTCGTTTTTTGGGGTAATGAAATTCACATGCGATCAATGTCGGTGTTAGAGATTCTAGCCAGCTGGGCTAGTTTCGGGCATTGATTTCGGGTGACCCACCGCCACCGGCCCCCGCCCCCCCCCCCCCAAAAATTAAGGTTTTTTGTCGAACCTCAACTCAAGTAAATTCTAAGTTCAAGCTTAAAAAGCGGATGCACTGCGCCGCTTCTTCCTTCACCTTGTATCATCCCCTCTATTCGGAGACTTTGTAGCTCTAGCTACTTGTCTCGTCTCCTTGTAAGTTGTAATCAATCATTCCTTCGACTGACTGCGGCGGTTTATCGGTGCACTGCAAATGGAGCCTTCGAGCTTGGAGCCAACCGTGACATGCCACGTGGTGGCGATGCCGTTTCCTGGGAGAGGCCACGTTAACCCGTTGATGAACTTCTGCAAACTCATAGCCGCGAGTCCACCGCGTAACACTAACACGCTCATCACCTTCATCGTTACTGAAGAGTGGTACGGCTTCCTCAGCTCCGATCCCAGGCCGGCTAACATCCGTTTAGTCACCGTCCCAAATGTAATACCTTCAGAAATTGGCCGAGCCAAAGACTGGCCCGGTTTCATTCGAGCAGCTTTGACCAAGCTACAAGCTCCGGTCGAGCAGCTCTTGGACCGGCTTGAGCAGCCCAAGCCTAACGTTATCGTGCACGATACCTACTTGAAGTGGATGGTGGGTGTAGGGAATCGGAGGAATATTCCGGTGGCTTCGTTTTGGACGCAGTCCGCCACCGTCTTCTCCATTTTCCATCACTTAGACCTCGTACTTCAAAATGGCCATTTTAATTTCAATTTGGCAGGTGCGCTTCTAAGTACTAGACTATTAGTAAAGAAATCAAAATTACTGCTGCTACGACTTTATAACAATACTGTGCTCTAGTGCAAATCCTTTTTTTTTTTGTGGGGTGTGGGGGGGGGGGATAGATAGATAGCAACTATTGAGCACCTTTTATTCATTGGCCTTTAAATACCAATTGTCAGAGTGGCTTATGACCTGATCCGCTGATCAGAAGACATTAGAAAACTCATGTCAACTTTATTTAAAACAGTTTTTTCGCCTTTCACTTTTCCCTCCGGTTTAATTTCAACGAGTGAGGACCATGGTTCAAAGTCACAGTCGCGGTTGTGGTCGCGGCCCGGAACGTTCCACATCGGTTTCGGCATATCGGTCGCGGTCTCGGTTAGACACAAATTTTAAAGTATTTAATATTTTAAAAATTGTTAATAATATAAAAAAGTATGCTAAATAAAAATAATTAAAAAATAGTAAAAGAAACGGTCAAGTCAATCCGTCACGGTGTGACTCGGCTGATTTCTCGTCTTGACTCGGGATAACTCGGAGTGACTCGCTGAGTCAATCCGTCACGGTGACGATTCGGCCGATTTCTCGGCGAGTCAAGTATTTCGGTATCGTTTCGTCACGGTATCGTATTGGTAGGGGTCGAGACGGTGACGACTCGGCCGAGTCGTCTCGGTCTCGGCCGAGACTTCGAACCATGCTTGCGAGGACACGGCAATTTTGGTGACTAAAACAGGAACAGGACATGACAAATGGATTCCAGTGATGCATCTGTAGTTCTGATAGAGTTGTCCAGGTCAAATTAACTTCGAGACCTTCTGGGACCCCTCTTAAGTTCCAAATCCTGAACTGAAGCTAAGAACAATCCCTACTATGTTTGGGAACTTTCTCGAAATTTTTGTATGATCGAGTCATGTCCAGGGTAGGGAACTCCGAATAAAATTAGTATACTAGGTAGTATTTCACTGTCTGCTTAAGAGTATGAACAAGAAGCAAGGATTTTGACAGAAACCATTATTATCTTCTTTACTGTATTGCATTGTTTCTGATGCAGAGAAAGGAAAGGAGCAGGTTAATTACATTCCTGGGGTCCCTGAAATGCGCACTTCTGATCTTCCAACGCCATTCTTCTCTGCTAGAGGCCAAGAAGTGTTGGACGATTGCTTGGAGGGCGTATCACTGGTTTCTAAAGCACAGTTCCTTTTATTCACTTCCACCTATGAGCTTGAAGCTTCAGTGATTGATGCACTAGGAAAAGAATTTGCCTTCCCTATCTATTCCATTGGTCCTGCAATACCTTGCTTCAATCTCAATGGTAATGCGGCCACAAATGCTGGAGGCGGCGATGAACCTGAGTATGTTCAGTGGTTGGATGCTCAACCGACAAATTCTGTTCTTTACATATCACAAGGAAGCTTCCTTTCTGTCTCGAGTTCCCAATTGGATGAGATTGTTGCAGGGGTGCATGATAGTGGCATCCGGTTCTTTTGGGTGACACGAGAGGATACGAGTCATGATCCAAAAAGAGGTGATACCAAGGGTATTATAGTGCCTTGGTGTGACCAATTGAGGGTGTTGTCACATAATTCTATAGGCGGGTTTTGGTCTCATTGTGGGTGGAATTCCACTAAAGAAGGTATTTTCTCAGGCCTGCCGATGCTCGGCCTTCCTATTTTCTGGGATCAAACGACAAACGCTAAGCAAATTGTGGAAGACTGGAAGATTGGGTGGAGAGTGAAGAAAGTTGATGAGAGTTTAATAACAAGACAGGAAATTACGAGACTTCTGCAGAAGTTTATGGACTTGGAAAGTGACGAAGGAAGAGAAATGAGAAGAAGGGCAAAAGAATTGCAGGTCATTTGCCAGCAGGCAACAGAAAAAGGTGGATCCTCCAAGAGTGCCATTGATGCTTTCATGGAGGACATTTCATGCCACATCCGTTGAATTTATTTCCTTCTTCATATTGATTGTTCAATCTCTATCTCCTCGCAGCGAGTAGTATAACTTTGGAGGACATTTAATAATATATTTGTATCGTTGACCTCAGAGCAAGCGAGCTTTGTTAGAACAATAATCTGATGGCATTATTGATAAGAACAAATGTATTGATAAAACGGTCTATTTGGGTACTAATTAAGATATATACATATATATCACATATGCATATTTTAGGAAATATAACATTAGTTAGAGAAAGTATACAAGTACAAGAAAAGATAGGTAAGATTGGATAAAAAAAAAGTATATAAATGCAAACGAGTGTAATAATTGTTAATGTGTGTATATACATGGTAGATCAAGTGAATGTTAGATATGCTAACGAGTGCTCATGATAAAATATATTAGTGCAATGATAATCTATCTAAGGTAAACAATGCACTTCAAATCAATCTTCAATTACTTTCCAAATAGTTTCTAAAGCTCCTTGGAAGCTATGTAAGAAGTTGTATAAATGTGAAGTGCGGATAATAATTCTCTACCTAAAATTAACAAGAAAAGATGGGATCACAAAATAAAATGAGACCGTTTAGAACCCCAATTCAATCTTCTGAATTATAATCAAGACAAGCAAATCATGCTTACCAAAAATGAAAAAGTACGGAAAAGAAAGAATAAAAAAGAAGACAAGAAAGTCCAAATGTTGAAATGCGCACGCGAATCTGCCCCGAACGTCACGAAATGTGGAAATTCTTCGGGTCCCCCTTCCCGTGTGGCTGGCTGTAAAATTCTGCAAAAATGCTGCTAAGTATACAATTACAACTGCAGAACCAAGCCACCCACCCGATTTAAGTTTAACGGTTCGTAACCTTCATTTTAGTGCTATTAATTTTTGTGAAGATCTTCTTGTTGTTGGAAAAGTCAAATGTGAACAAATATAGCAAAGTCTTTAATCCTGAATTAAATCCCCACAATTCTTGGAACCCTAAATACAGACTGCAATACGCAACCCCTAAGCCAGACACAGAAACCCCCCCCCCCCCTCCTCTTCCCCTTTCCTTCCTCTTGTCCAAAACTAACAACAAAATCCACCACCTCCACGCGCCGCTCAGAGTCCATCCCTTGGAGCCTTCTCCGCCGCCGCCCCGGCCGGGGGTCACCTCTCGGTCCTATACATTGTACAGTTGTATTTCCAATATTTTCCACGTCACCGGCCGCCACTCTCATCTCTCTTTCTTCAAAAAATCGAAGGAGCTAATGCTTTCCGTTTTTGTTACGGGTGTATGGCAGCCATTTCCCATCGGATTTTTTTGAACCCGACCCAGGTTGCTACCAATATCCGTGTCCCTGTTTGTACCTATCACTCGGCCGTTACAATCTCTAGCTCCATATATTATTCATGGCCACCACCACGACTGCTACTGCTGATGCTGCTGCCTCTGCCCAATTCCAAAACTCCGACGTTTTGCCCATCCATCAATCCTCAACTTACCACCCACAAGTTACCATGGCCAAGCCACCCCACGATGGCCT